TTCAAATCTTCATATATTTCAAATCGTGTCATAATAAGTATAAACAAGCCTCGTCAGCAGTTTTGACTGCGTTTTATACATTAATTAGGTAATCTAATTAATAGCATGAATTGCAAGTTCTAACATCCAGTGCAATTTTCTGCCCGCTTTCTGTATGCTATCTTTCTAATTCAATTTCTTCTGGCTTTCGTTTTAATTCTATTTGTTCTTCCTAAACTCACTAACTCTTGGCCAGCAAAGCGGGTGATGATGCCCTTTAGTAAGCTGAACGTGTCTTCGCTGGCCCGGGTATGTGGCTTAAATATTGCAATTAAATGGAGGAAGATAAACTACAATACCTAAGTCGTGTCATATTCACAACTACATACATTTATAAGTGCGTAAGATTTTAAACTAATCTTAGTTAATGTGTAGCTTATTATATGTCACATTATAAGTCTAACTTATGAGTTAGAATTACCATTTTAACTATAGTTGTCATTTATTGAAAATTATACTTGTCTTATTATTGTCTTTATACTTTAAAGTTTCCCAGAATTAGTCCATCAATGCATACTTATACATTTTTAAGATTTTAAAAATTGATTTAAAATAAAAATTTAAAATAATAATTTGAAATAAAATACAAATCTTGCTACACTTTGGGAATCGTCCATAACTTACACAACGCTAAATTTCATTGGTAAAATAAAAAGATCAAAAATATTCCCAGGGCCTTAGTTTAAATAAAAAATCAAAATACAGGATCAAGTTTAATGAAAATTGCTGCATAAAAGAGCTTAAGTTCTCTTACTTCTCTTTTTTAAATATATTTAGCATAGCGTAATTAATGGACAATCCCTTGTCGTTATGTTGACAATACCTTTATGTTGACAATACCTTAATGTTGACAATAATGTTTTTAATACCATAATGTTGACAATACCTTAAAGTTAATGACAATACCTTAATGTTGACAATACCTTTAATACTTTCACCACCTACCAATCTACCATAAAGATAATATATACATTCAAGCAAAGTAATTTTTTTTTTGCGTTATCAATGTACGTAGGTAGGTTTTAATTAACTTTAAATTGCTGAAACTACGTTCACTGCTGGTCACTGTCGTTGAAATTGTCAGCAATATGCGTAGTGCTATCTATAGATTAGTAAAAAAGTCTTTTCTGTCGAAGTTTTTGATTATGTTGAGTGCTTCTAATGGTAATTGGTCACTTCTGCTTATGCTCACACCATTTATCAAAAACAGTAGCTATCAAACTGATATGTAGAATTTTATTTGTACAGTTTTTAATCATTTATATATGAAATGTTTTTCACAGTCAGATGTTCTTGTAATATTTTATAAACCTCTTTTAGTTTTTCCTTTGGTGGTAGTTTTTTCAGGTCAAATAGGAATTCCCACTTTGACTTTTGTTTAGAGAACACATTCTGTCTTCTAAAGATGATTTAATTATGACAATTAGTAGTAAAAAACATCATTTTTGAAAAACTTTATTGTGCTAGAGAACCAACGCTTGATTGAGAGAGAAAAAATTGTATAGATTATTTCAACAACAGCAATATCGACTTCACCAATGATTTAGCGCCGTCTAATATAACTATGTTCATGCTGTGGTAAATACAGGGTGTAAATGAGGCTTGTGGGTATTCTGCTGAAATTCGAGGTTGAGCACCTTTTCAAATTGGAACCATATTAGACCCGTTGTCATATTCTTACTTCTGCAGTTATTTAGGTCTAGCAAGACTTTAATTCTTTAATTAGAAAGTTATAATGAGCTTCACCCGTCGACTCTTCTTACACTGCATATCCAATAAAGCTTTCTTTGACAATGACTATTGCTTCATTTATTGACTAAAGTATAGAGTAAGTTAAAAATACTTTTCACACTTTACCTTGTTCACGATAGCTTCTTTTACATGCAAAGCTAAGAGGTTTATGGTCTCGTTTTGAATATTGACATTGCCGTAAATGCTCTAACAAAATAAGATCAAAATTTTACTAAGTAGTTAAATAAGACCATGAAAATTCTATTTATTTTTGGTGTTCAGGTTTGATGAGTTTCCACGGAATGCAATATTTTGTTCACCAAGTACATAATCACTGACACTATTTTCTTAAGAATGCTTCTCCACCGTTCTGTTTTATTGTTAACTTGTTGGATAAGACCTTGATTGGCAGCTCGATTATTTTTTATACCGATTGTTGCTTCAATCCATTTCTCAGAACAACTGAAATGGAGATGTCTTGTTTAGGCTTGTTCTGTGAACTTTTTCCAGTGATTAAAACCTTTTTTTTTTATCTAAAATAATGATTTTGGATTTGTGTCAAATTAATGACAAGAAAGAAAATAAGCTGAATCAGATTTTGGAGAGTATATAAGCCATTTTCTCATACTTGTTCATCATTTCTTGCTAGCCTGTATCAAAATTCATTTGAGAAATGGCGTTTTTTGGTTTTAGGATAGTCTTTATTGTTCTTCAGGAAAGGAATTTGGTTCATTTTGATGATATAGTCTCCAAAGACGATTCTACGAATAAAATGAGGTGGGGAGGGGCGGGGGGCGGGCTGAATCCTCAAAAAGTACCGAGTGGCTTCTATAAAAAAAAAAAAGTCTTTAAAATGAAAATTTAACCAATTGAATTGTATCAAATACCCGACTATCCGATTAAATTCGTGAAAAAACCGACTAACTTGAAAATCACCTTCTTCGGGGGGGAGGGGTAACACCCCCCTCCTACACTCCTTTCGTAAAATCGCCTCTGGTAGTCTCTTTTGCCCAAAGCCAGCCGTTCCAGCCAAATGGATGGGTCATTAGATAAGAATCTGCAAGTGTCACTTCTCCGCGAAAAATCTGTTGTAATTGTAAAACTATCATCTGTTTTAACTATTATAGGAAATTACATTCAGGTTCTTTATTTTTCTTTGATGTTTCCTGAGAATTTTGGTAATGTCCAAGGATAAAGTTGATGAACATGTGGCAAAACTTACATTATCTTTCTTTTGGTTAGATTGAGACAGAGTGGAGGTCTTACTAGATGCTTTCAAAGAATTTAATTAACAGTGTAAAACTTTATTTTCGTTTCTGGAAGCATAAACTCTTCATAATGCAAGTTTTTTAATTCATAATTAAGGTCATTGCTGAATACAGTTTGCAACCCTTTTATTACAATATTTTTATTAACTTACTTTCTTGCGGTTTATTTATTTTATTGTCCGCACAAAATAAACATGAGCTCAACGTTAATAATTGAAATTATTTAATAAATTAATTAAAACAAACAACCCGGAAAAAAAAATTACTTTATGCTAAAGTTTAGCATAAATAAAAGAAATCGTTAAAAAAAAACTTCACAAAACAAACTTTAGTTTAGTGTAAATAAAAGAAATCGTTAAAAAATACATTAAAAGCTTTTTAAAAACAACATTTTTAAAATGGGGTAAAATAGCGAATAAGTATATAATGTATTTAAAAATTTTTAAAAAGCAATATATTTAAAATGGACTAAAAAGAAAAAGATTAAACTTTTTCTCGGAACCAAAGGATTTTGTATAAGTACACAACCTGAAATATCCATTATGGCCAATGACTGAAAATATTACTACATAGGTTTTAAATGGTAAAGATATACTACATAGGTTTTAAATGGTAAAGATATTTTATGAAAAATTTACCGCGGCGCCCGGAGTACCTTGCCCCCCCACCCCCAAGGGTCTGCCCAGCATATATATACATGTATATATATTGATTGGCATAAATAGGGATAGGTCCAGTGGAGTAATAACCACATATCGTGAGGTTGGAATTATTTTATTCTACCTCCACTTTTTGAAAAACTCGAATTATTAATTGTTCTATGCACCTCAAAATAATGTTTTTCTACTATATTGAAATCTAAGTCAAAAAGGTTGCGACGAAAACATAAATAATAAAAATCTTCACCCGTCTCCTGAAGTTTTTATTTTGTAATCGTTAAAACTCAAAAATTGGAGAACCAAATAATTCTAAGCTTGCGATATTGACTGAGGGTAGATATACAAATAATGGCTGTAGACATTATATATTTTAATAGTTTTAAACTTTTGAACATTTCAAACATTTAAAAGTAGAGTCAATACTTATTATCGTTTTAAAGATTGCGAATTTTTGTTGTTGTTGTTAAAACTATTAGCAAAATACAACGAGGTAGCAAATTTTAATGAAAATAAAGATATTTTGAATTATCTCATTAATAAAAACAAGAATATAGCGTTAAAATTATACCTCAATTATGAAATGAATAAAAATAGGAGGCCGACTTGTTCAAAAAAGCTTTGATCAGAGTCTGACAATATAATTACAGATGAATTGTTTTGTTGAAATGATTTTTTCGTTAATAGCATAGAAGTAAAATACCAATTTTTAACTTTTGTTTTGAATATTAAACATAAATTTATTCTATTGTTTGAAAAAAAAATCTTTTTTTTTTTAAATAGTTAAAACTTTTGTCATAAATCGTATAAAACTAACCTTCCGGCAGAATACTCTAACGCCGGGCGACATTAACTGAAGCTAAATAATGCAATTAACAGTAAAGTTAACAGTAAAATTAGAGTAAAATTAACAGTAAAGTTCTATTAAAAAACTACTGTTAGCTGAATCTCAAGATGGTTAGTCTTCTTAAGCAATCCTTGTAATAAAATTTTGTTACTTAAATGGGCCTTACTTTTGAAGAATCGTTCGTTTCTTATGAAATTTTCACATTTTAATACTAATTTAAAGTTCTTTCCAAAGGTATTATAAATTCATAAACAATTTGAAAATTTTACACGCATACCTACATGGTTGTAATTATTTATAACCACTTTGCCACTTATTTCTTTAATAATATGTTCAGGTATGTTTTTTTAAAAATTAAGGGTTTTTACACGGGTGTAAAAAAAGTGGATACTAAAAATTATGTCGTTTAATCAACTTAGACGTTTCAGGAAGGATACAAAGACAAACAAATTCATCTCATAAAAATAAATACTAAAAGATTTTCAGAGAATCAGAAAAGAGTTTAAAATATACAATAGGGTGGCCGATTTCTTAAATTTGGCACCTAATTCAATTTACACTCATTACATATATGATAATACAGGTATATACATAACAAACATATATGCAGCTATATAAATCATTACACACACACATACACATAAAAAAAGATCTACGTATAGATTTCAAATTAATAAAAATATTTTCTTATATTCTATATATCGTTGCGATCATATCAAAGTTACCATATTTTTGGGGAAGAGAATTAAGTAAGAATTATGAGATAGAAAGCATTCAAATAAAGAACCAATATAAAAATGAGTTTATTTATGTTTTTGTATTTGTAATTAGGTAAACTTTTAAAACATAAAATGACTTTGATAAAGATATGGCCGCAACGATACACATTTATAAATATTCTAACATTCTTGTATCTAGATTTTAAGAATTTATCAACATGCTAATGTATGTGTGTTTGTAAATATATAAATATGTATGTGTGTATATATATATACATTCACACATATGAAGTAAAAAAATAACTTTTTTAGTAATAAAAAGAAATTGAAATCCTATAAAGTTATAACAAAATATTTCAAGAAATCTGTCACATTCAAAGTCAGAATGATACTAAAGAAATTTGTCACATTCAAACTCAGAACGACACTAAAGAAATTTTTTTTGAATTAACAATAAAGCAATTTAAATATATTTATATTTAGCCATGAATGCAAATCTGTGTTCATCATAGAAAACGAATGAGTTGAAAGAATTCTTGAAATACCATGTTGTAAAAATCAAAAATATAACCACTGTTTTAGCCAAATTCAATAGATAGTATACATTAAATATTACCATGGAAACGCCAACACAAAAATACTCAAAATTTTCAATAAAAATAATAATATACAGAAAACAAATTAAAAAATACGTATCCACTGTTAGTCCATAAATAATTTTCTCTTTAAAACAATTTCATAAAATAATGGATAGCTTGATGTACACTGTACAATTAATTTCGTGGTTACAAAACCTTTAACCTTTAAGATCCACAAGTTTTGTCCTTTTCATTTTTACGAATTAAGAACCGATGCATGATTGAGCGATTACTTTGTTCATTTAAAACTTCGCTATTTATTGGATAAAAGGCATTGACCAATTTAGTCTCTGATAAATAATCAGCTATATCAGCCTGAGTTTCAGATGGCATTCGCGTAAAAAATTCATTGGTCAAGGAGAATTTTTGCTCCCATTTTCTTTTTCCAATTCCTATTTAAAACAGCTTTTCAGTTTTAATTTCAGTATTAATTAAACGGTTATTTAGTTGCTTTTTTTCCAGTTTGAAATTTAAAAGTTGTAAATGTGGAAATAAAAATATTAAAGAAATATATTTTGTAAAAAAGTAAAACTTACAAGTCTTTCAGCTTCATCGTGCCAGTACGAAAGGTTTTGTCGAAGAAATTCCATTGCGTCACTAACTTGAGCAAACTCTATGATAACAAAAGAAAAATTAAACAACATCTGCTAAGTTCAAAGTTTTTAAAGGTGTTTTAAATATGTTCAAGAGAGTTCAAAATAACTAATTAATTAGAACATTGCTATAACATACTTAATGAGAAATTGAAACTTTAAACATTGTGCAAGCAAAGAGTAAAAAGCACTATTTTAGTTTCATTTGTAAATTATTTATTAATTAAAAGTTGCCTAAATTTTGACATAAATTTGAAAATTATATATAAGCCCAATTACCATGAAAACCTGCCCCTAATGGGCAATTTTTATGGTAATTATGTGCTTATTTTTTATATGCATTGATATGGGAACTAATCACATTAAAAAACCTTTGCTTTAAAAACCTTTGTTTTCAAAGCAAAGGTTTTTTAAAGCAAAGCTTTAAGCTTTTGCTATAACCAGTCTTAGTTCTGTTATTAGAAAAGTCTTTGATCAACAAATTTCTAACATCCCATCTTGAATCAAATAGCTTTGTCAGACAAAGCAATCTTCTTGCTCTACCGCTGACGACCTAACTGCTGTGACTGAAAGATTTTATTCTACATTAGATAGAGGCGGCAAGGTTAGGGCTATTGCTATTGACATATCTAAAGCTTTCGATAAAGTTTGGCATGCTGCTCTTCTTATAATCTTGCTTTATATGGTGTATCTGGAAAAGTTTTTAAGATTATTAAGTTATTTCTTTCTAACCACCTTACCAAAGTTTTCCTTGAAGACAAACACTCTTCTTCATTTCCAGTAACTTTTGGGATACTGCAAGGTTTTATCCTGGATCTTGTTTTGTTTCTTATCAACATTAATGATCGCCCTGACAATCTTACATTTAAAGTGGCTCTATTCGCAAATAACTCTATTTTATTCTTCTGTCTTGACAAAAAGTCTTCTCTTTTCCATGGCTTAGAACAAGCAGCTGATCTTAAATCTAATCTCACTTCTGTAAAAGATTGGGGCTAGCAGTGGCATGTAAATTATAACTCCAACAAAATTCAGTTATTTACTGCAAACAACTATTGCAATACTGTCGACACTGCTATATGATGAATGGCTACCCTCTTATTGAGCCCTCTTCATTACATCTTTTTGGATTATTATTTGCTGACCTTTCATGGAAACCTTAAATACAATCAATTGCTTTGTTAACATATGCTAAGGTTGCTTCTCCTTATTGTACTCGCCATTTTCTTACTCCTGATTCCATTCTCTACTTTGCTTTCTAAACATAGTTGGACCTGGTTATCAGCCAAACTTGAGCCTCATCATTGTAAAGTTGAGCCTTTTTCTCTTTTCTACAAATACTATAATGGTCACTGGTAAAAGGAGCTATCATCTTTAGTTCAATCAACCAAAACTCATTCTCGCTTGCCACATCATTCAGTAAAGTCTCATCCTTTTACTGTATCTATTCATGCATGCTCTAAAAACTTTTATTAGCCTAGTTTTTCCCCCCGCACTTAATCCCTTTGGAACTCTCTCCCAACTATATGCTTTCCTGACTCAAACAATCTACAACTTTTTAAGTCTTCTTTCAATCTTTTCCTCGGTCTTTAACTCTATTCTTTGTTTTCTATAACTCCCAACTTAATAGTGGTTGGTTGCAGCTTTATTGGGAGTATATTTAAAAAAAAAAAAACTACGCTTATTTGAGATTTAATTTAAACTATATCAATATATGAATAATTTAAAATTTGATATAATAATGGCAACAATAATAACAAAAATAATAATCTTATTAATGGCTGACAGGTTTGGACAATAGTTTTTTTTTAAACACTATTTTTAATTATATTTTGATTCTCTTTTTTTTTTGCTTTAGAAGATGCCTAACTTGATCAAGTTAAAAACTTTAAATCAAACAAATGAATATAGGATTTAATTAATGGAATAAGTAATCAACTGAAAATTAACGTAAAAATATAGTAACATTTTTTTGTTAAAAACTCTTTTAAGATGACAAGAGAACAATGCAGGATTTCAAAATAATCTCTATGATAGCACACCCATGCTTTAATGATAGTCATGCTGATAAAATTAAACAACTAATAGTTTTCAGAGTGTGAAAGGTAACTTGTTAAATACTTTTCAGCAGTGTTTTGTGACAAGACCATATTGTGTTTTTGGATCATCTTAACAACCAGAAGAAAAAAAAGCATTGCAGAATTTAAGAGTTTAAAACTTGATTAAAAATATATCAAATTATTTTAGAAAGGTTTTCTTATGATAAGAAAAATATCTGAAAAATAAATTTAAAAATTATACTTAACGATAATATTCTTGACAGTTTTTTATTTATTTTCACAAATTCATTTATATTAATATTCTTATTTAGTGTGATTTTATGCCTAGTTTAAATTGGATTTTTTCTTTGAAATTTTTTTTTTTTTGAAATTCTACAAGAAACTTTTATTAAACAACATCTAACAATAATTATACATTGGTTGAAATAATTATGCATTTGCTGAAAGTTAAAAATTGGTTGAATATAAGTTTTACAACAATAGATTTATATATTTCATTATATTAATGTGGCTTAATGCAAAACTTGAAACCAGATTTTCTCCAATGGACAGTTTAACTAGATTTTATGCAAAACTTGAAATCAGATTTTCTCCAATAGATAGTTTAACTAGATTTTATGCAAAACTTAAAATCAGATTTTCTCCAATGGACAGTTTAACAAGATTTTCGAATTTATTTTTGTTTTAGTGACTAGCAATTGCTAGCCACTGGGATAAATTCCAAATTGCTACAGTACTATAATTAGTAATATTATCCCACCAAAGAATTCCCTGGGGTCATGAAATTAAGGTCTTTTTTTAACAGTAGTAATTTTGATTTATAATTTACTTTTTTTAAACTCAGTTCTCTTGCTTGAAAAAAAACAACAACTTTAGGCTTGAACAGACAAATTATGAGCAGACTGTGCTACTTTTAAAAATTGCATATAAATACCTATAAATATTCCTATAAACCTATATATATATATATATATATATATATATATATATATATATATATATATATATATATATATATATATATATATATATATATATATATATATATATTAGTTGACTTCGCTTCCAACAAGTCTGCAAGCAACCACTAATTAGTGTTGGAAGTTACTGGAAGAGAAAAGATGAAGATTGTAGAGCAAGATAACGATTGACAGACGACTTAAAAGATTACAAATTATATGAATCAGGAAAAAACTAGACGAATAAGAGTTTTTGGAGCACTTAGGAACAGTAACAGAAAAAGGATGAGACTTAATTGAATGACGAGTAACACGAGAATGAATTTTAGTAGATGGCACAAGAGACGCTATATAGTACCCATTATAGTATTTGTAGAAAAGAGAAAGAGAAGCAACATTACGACAATGTGACAAAGGTTAAAGGTTGGCTGCAAGAGCAGGTTCAACTATGTTTACAATGCGTTTTAGCACCTTGTCTAAAATGATATGACCTAATATGACCTATATATAACTTATGCTTACAATAAACCTAAAATGTAAAGATATAAAGCCAATATAAACATATATAAACCTATATTTAGGTAATATAAACCTATAATATGCAAAGGTACTTAGGTTGTTAGGAAAGTTCGTAGAACTCCCCTATAAAAAAAAAATAAATGAGTTTTTTTTAATTTTATTTTATTAAATGTTCAAAATAATGTCCATCACCATCTATACAAAGTTGCATCCTTTCAAGCCATTTGTGAAACGTTTTTTTATACTCTTCTTTGGGCTAGTAGAAAAAACCGGCATAACGAAGTAGCTTCGTTATGCCGGTTTTTTGGCTTTCGACGTCAGTATCGCCATCAAGATTTTTTTTTTATCAAGTCAAATAGCCAATAATCGGATGGAGCTAAGTCTGGTGAATATGGTGGGTGGAAAATTATTGTAATTCCAGCTTGGTTTAGACAATTTGTGACGGTTTGAGTTACATGGGGTCGAGCGTTATCATGAGGAAATTTGAAATTGTGTGTGCCCGTTTTAGGTCTTTGCTTATTTAATTCGCATATAAGAGGTTTCAAACAATTTTTTTATATAATATTAGCTAGTAATGGTGTCTCCCTTTTTAACATACCCCAAATGAACAACACCTGTTGTTTTGAAGAAGATGTAGAACATGCTTTTCGGCTGAAACCTATCACATCTTACTATAGTTCTTGGACTTTCACCTTCACTGACTCAACTAGCATTAGCTGACTTGTGCCCAACTTGTCTCAAATAAAACGATGACTCATCCCCTTAAACAATATCGCATAGCCTCCATGGGTCGCTTGTGAAAAGGGCTAAATTTTCTTTACATGCATCAACTCTATTCTTTCGACTTTCATCAGTTAGCTCGTGGGGTATCCAACATGATGTTAGTTTTATTTTTTTTTGCATTGTGAATGATTTTGTTAATTGTAAAACGAATAATTGATGTCAAGGCTTCAATTATATCATGTGTTGCATGCAGATTTTCTTCAATAATGGCTCGCACACGTTCAATATTCTCAGATGTTTACGTGGTTTTAGGGTCCCCTGAGCGAGGATCATCTTCAAGACTCTCTCTACCATCTTTAAATAAAGTAGCTCACTTGGCAACTGTACTATATTTTGGAGCTTGGTCACCATGAACTAAAACCAATTCATAGGTTATGGCTTGTGCTAAAACTCCAAGTAGAGCACGAGTTTTAATATATGCTCGATATTCAAGTTTTTCCATTTTAAAATTTTTCTTTTAAACATATATAATAAAATTTAAATAACTCTTTAATTAAACATTCAAAATATTTCAACAAGTACTTAAAATGTTCATAATTAAACACAGTTTAAGATGATATATAAATCTTTTATTATTTCCTGTCTTATTGTAACTTTATAGATGAAGTTCTGCGAACTTCTCTAACGACCTAAGTATGTATATTTTTAAAAATCTTTATAAATATAAAGAAGTGAATAGGTTTTCACTTCTTTATATTATTAAAAAATAATATTTTTAAAATTACATATTGAAATTTTGAAGAATCAAAATGATCTAAGATTTAAATGTTTATTGAATTCCCATATAAAAAATACAAACTCTATGTTAATAAAAAGATTATCAATTTTAAGATTTATTTGATATTGTCAAAATATGAGTAATATTCAAAATATAAGTAATTTACTAACATTAAGATGCAGATGTTAAATAATAAACTTACTGTCCCAAGCTACATACAGATTCATAACAAAGTAGTCAATAAAGAAAACCTATAATAAAATTGTGCAAAAAAAAGTAAAGACAATATATATATATATATATATATATATATATATATATATATATATATATATATATATATATATATATATATATATATATATATATATATATATATTTATGCCTTCAACTGCTCTGTACCCCTAATTGTGTTCTACAAAATGAAGTAATACTGCATTTTAAATTTTTTTATCTATCAATATCTGCAGAACAACAACAAAAAATCATCTCACCTGTGATTTAGGAACATTACAAGTGTTTCTGTCAAAAACTGGCATCACTATAGGTAAGTTTCGCTTTTTTTCTTCTTCGGTCTATAAAAAAAAGCATAATATTCATATGTAACAAATAAAATAAGATTTAATTTTTTTTCAATAGTAATGTAGATGTTAGTTTAGATTAATCTTAAACCATCAATATGTATATAGGTATGTTATGTACATCATGTATGTATGTTTGTTTGTATGTATGTATGTATGTATGTATGTATGTATGTATGTATGTATGTATGTATGTATGTATGTATGTATGCATGTATGTATGTATTTATGTATGTATGTATGTATGTATGTATGTATGTATGTATGTATGTATGTATGTATGTATGTATGTATGTATGCATGTATGTATCTATGTGTATAAACATGTGTGTAGGTGGGTGTATATATACTTTATTTATTTTTAAAAGTATTATGACTGTTGCAGTGGATACTTTCTTGACAAGTTTTGTAATGCTCAGCTACAGTTAAATAATCTCCTTTACCTTGTGTACATGTGTACATGTTTGATGTTGGCACATAAAAGAAAATATCGTCAGCCCTGTTTCACCTTTATAACATTATTTTTGAAACTTTTTTGGAGATTTAAATACTGGTGTGTATTTTTACGACTGTTCTTAACTTAGGAATGATTTTATTGATCCTAGGTAAAAACACAAAACATTTTGGAGATGTTAAGAAATCCATTCACAGCTGTTTTCAACAAATACATCAATAAGAAATGAAAACTCATCAACATTACACTACACACACGCAATACACCATGGACAAAACCATTGACAAGACACAATTGATAATTTTAGGGTCATGGCATGAATTAGGTTTAACTTGAATGTCTGTGATATATAATGTGTGTATCTCTCCCTCTCTCTCTCTCTCTCTCTCTCTCTCTCTCTCTCTCTCTCTCTCTCTCTCTCTATATATATATATATATATATATATATATATATATATATATAAGTATATATACATTTTAATTATTTTCGCTTCCAACGAGGCTGCAAGCAACCACTAATTAGTGTTGGAAGTTACTGGAAGAGAAAAGATGAAGATTGTAAAGCAAGATAACGATTGACAGATGACTTAAAAGACTGCAAATTATATGAATCAGGAAAGCAAGATGAAGGAAGCGAATCCCAAAGAACTGATGTTCGAGGAAAAAAACTAAACGAATAAGAGTTTTTGGAGCACTTAGGAACAGTAACAGAAAAAGGATGAGACTTAATTGAACGACGAGTAACGCAAGAATGAATTTTAGTAGATGGCACAAGAGACGCTAGCTCTTTCGAGCAGTACCTATTATAGTATTTGTATATATATATATATATATATATATATATATATATATATATATATATATATATATATATATGTATATATATATATGTATGTATATGAATATGTATATAAATATATATATCTACTATAGTGTATATAGATATTCGTTCACTGATTTTGTGCTGACTTATATATAGTAATAATGAGTTAATAGTAATAGTAATTTCCATTACCATTAAGAAGTGTTTATTTGCAGTAGAGTGTTTGCATTGAATTAATTATTTTGTATTATGATAAGTTACATGTACATACAGTACAATACTTTTTTTATTACCATACATAATACATGATTTTTTGTATAGAAAATAAAGATCCTGAGCAATATATTCTTTATATTATTTTATGATTACAGTTTGCTTTAGTGATAAGAAAAAAATTGATAACATGCTGAGACCTCACTGTTTATTAGACAATGAAGCAACAAAGTTCTGCTTCTGAATTGAACAAGTATTCCACTTCTGTTTGGTTTGAAGAGCTTTAAAGATCTCTGCTCAAGGTTCAGACGGTCTTCACATCCTGAAGAGATCATGCGCCAGGACCAATAAATTGAAATCTTGCAGCCCAAGTTGCTACCTCAAATAACTGCATGGTTCCCTAATGATAATGGAATTTTCATGCAAGATTGAGCTCCTTGCTATACAGCAAAAAGGGTCATATTAGCTGGCCAGAAAACTCACCTGACATGAGTTTTATTGATAACTTCTGGTGTCTTACCAAACATAAGGTCAATAAAATGAAACCCACTACTAAGCATTGTTTGATTGAATACATATTTCAAGTATGGAATCACAATCAAGACATCTGCAACAAGTGCCCACGCCTCACACAGAGAATGCCCAAACATGTGGCCCAAGTAATCAGCAGCAAGGGTGGTTACAATAAGTATCGACAGTTAGATCTATTAGCTGTTGATAGTGCATGACCCAATCCAGTTACTTACAGTTAGCAGATACCAATATGAACTGAACATAGTTTCATATATGTAAACTTCATGTATGTTGACTGAAAATTCTTTAAAATTTCGAAAAATTTAAATACAATAATAGAAACCCTAAAATCATACAATTTTCATCTCATAAAAAACTTAATATTGCTTATTTTGGATATTTGGGCTAAAAAAACGCTGAAAAGAAACACATGCTAAATTTAATGTTTTTAATGATTTGGCCAGAACTGTATGTATGCTTACATACATACATACATACATACATACATACATACATACATACATACATACATACATATATATATATATATATATATATATATATATATATATATATATATATATATATATATATATATATATATATATATATATATGGGCAAGTAACATTTGACAATCTTTAAACTATTAAAAATGAAGTTAAAATGGAAATGAACTAAAACTTTTCAGATTTATGAAATATTATTATGTAATTTAGTATGTAAAAGTTACAGCATTAAAGTCTTCAACTTTTTCCAAAAATTATGACAGTCTTATTTTTTACTATTTCTCGTACGCTTACTTTTTACCAAAACAACTTTGTCAGGCTTAATGCAGCAAATGGCAGGTAAAAATAAAAATCATTTAATGTGTGATAAAATGATTTTTTAAAATAACTTTATTGCATAAAGTATTTTTAAATAGTTAAAAAAAAAAGTTATGGAGTTTAGTATGTATTTTTATGACTATTTTGCTTTTTTTTCTTCCCCCCTTTCTTTTAGAATTGCCCATATATATGTATATGTGTGTATAAATTGAGAACTCTTTATTTGCTCATCATAAAAAATTATGTAGTTATTTTTTATTTAACCTCGTCAAAAAAACAATTATATATATATATATAAATATATATATATATATATATATATATATATATATATATATATATATATATATATATATATATATATATATATACAGAGCTCAATTTAACGGTCAGACAATGGACATTGTCCGGCTAAAAATTCAGATTGTCCAATCAATTTACAAAGTAATCAGACATTATGACAGACAGGAAATAAATTCTAAAAAAATAAAGTATGGACAGGAATGGCATGTAATCAAATGCAATTACTGACCACGTAAATGATTTTGACCACGACTGTTAAAATGTTTTGATGATTTAAATGTTTCAGAAATGCGCTGAAAAAAGAAACATTAGGCTAAACATTAGAGTGCAGTGAAAAAATTAAAAGTGGAATATTTATATGAAATAGCAAGAAAAAGTTGTCTTTTGGTAAGTGTTCAAACATTGAAAAAAAAAATTTTCAAAAATTTTAATGTCTTTAGCTGCCTCATAGGGGACAAAGTTACTAAAAAGAGGTATTTTTTATGACAATTGAGTGTTTTAGTCAATTATTTTTTTTGATTAAAGATTATACTTTTTTGTCAAATTCTTTCAGAAAAAACTGTAATAATTAAATAGAATGACATATATGTCATTCTTTTGTATCTAATATGAACATATTTCAATGACCTTTTAAGGTTTTCAGGGCTATTTCAGGGCGTGACACTTTCGTGGGGAAAAGGGGGGCGGATTGGGATCAATGCACTAAAAAAATTTAAAATGTCAATAAGTACTACTTTAAACACCGACTTTGTAAAAATAAAAAAAAGGTCTTTTTGAAAATAATTAGGGGACATGGTCCTCTACACTTCCCCTTCCCTCTCTCCATCACTGTGGCAGATTAGCAAGTTAGTAAGTCAGCAAGTCTATAACAAGTTAAAGGGTGAAGCAAAAATATCTATTCATTAATTATTTTAACATACACAATCAAGTTTTAGAAATCTGTCATGACACTCTACTAATTTATTGGTTCGGAAGCACGATATTCTGACTTTGTGTTAAACACTGGCATTATGAGACGTGCATGTAAACGTGATCGAATAAAACCATCTCGAGTTTTTTCTCCACATACAGCCAGCGAAGCCTCATCAGCTGTCAACGTTGCCTCGGTTATTTTATTTTATTTTCAGTTGATGAGTTCTATGTAATCATGTGCATTTAAGTTAAGCTTTGGTAAACTGAAAGTACGCAGTGTGTGATCTTTTTCCTGTCGCGTTTTAAGAATGCGCCTTAATCCTAAATCACGAATTTGTTGGCATTTGTTACTAACAATTGCTAGTAAGAGATTTTCTGAATGAGCAAAATAGCCGTTAAGTTGTAATACAGGATCTACTATATCTCGCATGTTTGCATGCAAAAGACAAACCACCCATTGCAACTATTTGTTATATTCTTTTTCCATCAACCTTATTGCGCTACCTTTAATTCCTGTGTTTACGGCAGTTCCGTCAGATCCAACAGCTACAAAGTTTTTAACGTCAATATTTTTGATAGTTATAAAGTTTTTAGACCCTGGTTCGTCTATTAAAGAGATGTGCTCTTGAGTAATACTTAGTCGATAGAACTTTAACCCTTCCTTGATGTTTTCAAGAGTTTTGTCTTTTCGTCCATCAAAATAAATTCCTCAAACTATTTTTGAATTTTTAGAAGTTTTTAGTTGACTACGTTTTCTCTTACGCTCCGGTCATATTTTACTCGGATCAACAACACAAGAGGTATCTTGTTGATTAACAACACTAAAGTCTTTCAAAACTGCATTTGCTATTGCAGCTCTGGCTCTATCTGAGATCCCATACCGGTCACAGACGTTTGCTAATGCAGCAAGTGGTTGCCAACATTGAAAATACGAAGAACTAATAAAGTCAA